TTGGAGGCTGGCCGCAGAGGGGGAAGGAAAGGGCAGGGGTGCCCCCTGCTGGCCATTTTGTTGGTTTTGTCTCGCCTGTGTTCTAGGGGACAGTAAACTAACCCCAAGCCCTCGTGCCAAACGCAGAGCGCCCTGCGGCCCAGCTGTGAACGTGGCAACTGGGGAGGTTCGGAGAGCTGAGGAGAAAGGAGCTGGGGAGCAGAGACATAGATCTTTGGGCCAGAAGGAGCCATTATGCCATCTAGGCTGCCCCCCGGCAAAGCACAGGCTGGGGAACCTCCCCCAGCGTTCCCGGCCCCGGCCCTGTGCCCTTGGCTCTCTGTGTTTCAGGCATCGACTGGGCCCCCGAGAGCAACCGTATCGTGACCTGTGGGACGGACCGCAACGCCTACGTGTGGACCCTGAAGGGCAACGTCTGGAAACCCACCCTGGTTATCCTGAGGATCAACCGCGCCGCCCGCTGCGTGAAATGGTCCCCCAAGGAGAACAAGTTTGCCGTGGGCAGCGGCTCCAGGGTCATCTCCATCTGCTATTTCGAGCAGGAGAACGACTGGTGAGCCCTGGCCCTTTGCTGCCCCAGCCTCCGGGGGGAACGTGCCCCAAGGGGTCGGGGGCTCCTACCCTGCTGCTGAATCAGGCACCCTGCTACCCGCTCCTCTTGCCCCTTAGGTGGGTGTGCAAGCACATCAAGAAGCCCATTCGCTCGACGGTCCTCAGCCTGGACTGGCACCCCAACAACGTCCTGCTGGCCGCCGGCGCCTGCGACTTCAAATGCAGGTGAATGAGGAGTCCTGGAGAAAACACTGAGCCCTGGGGGTGGCGAGGTTCTGGGGGGCTCTGGGAAGAGCAGCAGGGCTGCCCTCTTGCCTGACATGCTCTGTGGCACGGGGCCGGGTTGGGGGATCACCCTGCCGGCTTTGGGCTGGCACAAAACTGCCTTGCCCTTTGCTCAGGGAAAGTGAATGTCACCTCTCCCCTACCCCCGCCTATTGCTGACCAAACCTGGGCCCCAGCTCAGAGCGCCCCAGGCTTTGGGGAAGAGCTGGCCCTGGACTGGCTCCTTGCCGTGTAGCTCAGGCCTATTGTTGGCTCTTCCTAACCAGCAACCCCTGCAGGGCAGAGAGCAAAGTCTCCTGTGTGGGCCCGACCCGGGGCGAGCGTGGGACTAACATCAAGAGCCAGCCCAGAGGGCCTGTTGGCCAGATCCAGGCAGAACTTGGCCCTCCGGGGTTCAGAGTGGGGCAGGGCTGGGGGCGGTGTGTGAGGGCGGCCTCCCTGTGGTGGGCTGCCACCCTGCCTGCGGATGAAGCGGGGGGAAGCGCCTGCCTCAGGCGTCCCTCAGGGAGATTCCCGCTAGTTGTTCTCCACCCTGCGGCGGGTCTCATTAGTGGTGTGGCCCAGCCCAGCTCCCTGGCAAAAGATCCATCGCCGTGGCCTTTCCTAAGGCAGCTGGGCCTCAGTCAGGAGTGAGCGAGGCCTGTTGGGGAGGGAGGGGAGAGTAGCTCCCCCTTCCGGGTTCGAACATCCAGCGGCGCTTCTCTGGAGCTCAGCGCGCATCCCAGGGAGGGCCACGAGGCTTGCTCGCGGTGGCGTTACCAGGGTTA